AAGTTTCAATTTCAAAGTTCTCTTTATAAAAGTTTACAAAGCTTTGAGTTTTTAATTATATATCGAGTTACGTTCAAAGATTTTCTCAAAGTAACGTGGATTTAATAGAGAGAATAATTTTGAAAAGATACACTTGAGAGAAACACCGACAAAACACACCTCGACGTATCAACCGAGAAAAGAAATCGAATTTGCTGTTACCATTAGGAAAGTATTCTTAAATACTACATATTCAATTAAAACGAATTTTTAATTTTACGTTTGAACAAATTTCACGTATTAAATGTATCTAGTTTTTTATTTTCACACGTTTCTATATATTTATTGCTCGCTACGTATTTACAAACGAGAAACCGTCGTCCATTACATTTTCGTCTGCATTCATACACGAGGATAACGTTAAAAACTGCCCTAATAAAATGTAACTCGCGGAGAAAAAATTCCACCTAAACATCAATCTTAACAATAAGCAGAACGGACCATTTCTTCAACTTTATTTCCCAATTTACTCATCCTAAAATCCCACGATTCTACAATCTTCGCGCTGCACGCCGTAATGTTTAATCTCAAACACCAGATAATTCCTCGCACGGGTGTCAACAAAAAAAGAGACTATTTATAAATCAATTAAAACTAGGAACAACGATTAATTCAACACCATTCCGTCGTCTACTCTAAAACGACGAACAACAAATTCAGCAATTTTAAAAGCTACATAAAAATCTCACACCTTTTCTCGTCCTTTCATCTCGACTCGGTGAAAAAAATTCCGCGAGTCTACGTCATTGGCTGGCCGCGTTTCCGAAGTTGCCCGTTTGGCGGCGATATGAGCGTACCGATTCGGGATCATCCCAAACGATTCCTCGTTAGCGATCGATGCGAATCAGGCTGCGGGACGTCCACGTGTGGAAAAGTGGCTCGGTTTCGAAGGTGACACGTCCGGATGCTGAGAAATGTCCCAGAATAACCTTCTGCAAGGATACAACTGTGAGTAAATCCTCGGCTGGTGAAAAACATCGAATCGACCAATCCTCCACTTTTTCCTATATTTTTTTTTTTTCCCCTCTTTTCCTTTCCTCCACACTTTCCTTCCTCTTCCGTGTACGGCTCCTCTCGCACAGATTCGATTGGCGTTATCGCCGCGGTGAATTGGCTCTCGCCAGGCGATCTGTCGCTTGTCCCACCGTGAAAAATGAGCTGTGATAATGGCGGCTTTCGTTTATTTGCGACCAGCCTGCCGGAAAAAAAGGCGAGGACCGACGATGTCGGACTTCTGCCGATCGCGACGCGAACCTCCCGTGTGTGCCTCTTTTTGACAGTTTTCCTCGTCCTTCCGGCCGCGATGCAAGCCACCGGCTTCCAGTGGCTTCCTCGATTTCGACGGTCACGTTCGTCAAACCGCGGTATCGTTAATTCTTTAACGGTGGATCCGTCAGTAATACGTGCGTTCTTCCGCGTCTTCTCGCTGTTGTACGGATCGAGACTCCGGCCACTGGGTGGTGATTTTGTGTCGGTGAGCTGACAGGATCATCAATCGTCTTATACAGACTTCAACGTGTATGTATATATGTATATGTACTTACGTATGATTGTTTCTCGTATGGTGATATGGTGGAGAGTGCTGCAGGAGATTGTGGAATGGATTTTTCAGTGATCATCTGGTGTTGTTTTGTGATATTTTCAAATTCTTTAAATACTTTCACGTGAGTCTTTTGTATGTGTGTGTGTAACTTTTCGTGTTATTTATGTGTACGCTTTGGAAATTATTTTTTGGTGGAAATATTGGAACTTGTGGAAGTGATTTTTTGGTAGAAATATTGGAACTTGCGGAAATGATTTCTTGGTGGAAATATTGGAACTTGTGGAAATGATTTCTTGGTGGAAATATTGGAACATACGTGCTGAGAGCGTTGGTGACCTCGAATTCCATTGTGTCGGCGTGTCTGTGAGTCGGTTACGGCGCATTTTTGGGGGGAAGAAGTTGGAGATTCTTTGTTAAATTTCAGAAGAAATAATCGTAATTCGCTATATTTTAGTTTCTGTTAATCTGTACTTCTTGTCGTATTATACTCAAAGATAATTGTTCGATTGAAATTTCTGTGTTTAAAGGATAACAAGAATTATAAACGAGTAATTTTTATTTAATGTACAACTTTTTATGTGGCTCCAAATAATATTTTTCAGAACAATCAGTTTGATTAGATTTGCTTTACAGTTCAAGTTAAGGTTTGTTAATAATTCTATTTTTCCTTTAATTTATATAAATGCAATGGTTTCTGTGCGGAGTTAAACGAGTCAATATCACGAATGATGATGTATCGAGGGATACATATTCCTGCGGTCGGGTGCAACATTGTCTCAGGCCCATGGATAAAACGCTCGACGAAAGCGTTACATTGTTTCAAGAGGCATCTGTATCGTCGTTTCCATTTAAATCAGTGTCACTCAACTAGCGGATCATTTAGAATATCATCCCGCGACGTCTTCTAATGAAAACGGCTTTCAATCTCGTTCCACAGCATCGAAATTCTGTGGTCCACGCCTCTGATGAAATACAAATTGAAATTATTCGTTTCGGCACGACTTTATAGTCGTGTAAAATATATATACATTTTTTTAATAAAAATAGACTATTAAATTTCAGTTATATTTTCTTTTATCGTACATTTAAAAGTATATTCGTTAAAAAAAGTATTACGAATTGATGATCGATGGTAAAAGAAATTTTATGGTTGTTTTTCTTATTAACAAATTAAACCAGAAATTATTAAGATGCTTTTGCCTAAACGTGTGATGACTTTTATTGAAGTAAAGAAGTAATTATTTATGCCAATTTATTTTCCATTGATCATTTCAATTTCGTAGCCCTTTCTATACCTAAATATACGAAAAGGGAGAAAATATTAAATCTGGTCCGCCTCTCACATAGAAATTTAAACTTTCTAAATTTACAATTAAAAACGAGTCAAAATTATGATCAACGATTTTGCTTTAATCCTTGCAAATGTGAATACATTTTATATTCAATACAGACATAATAGTACAATTCAAAATTGAAAATATTCAGGAACTCGTCTTCTCCAGTTAACTTTTTTAATTTATAAAGAAAATTACAAGAAGTTCTTTCAACAACTTTCTGATTATTGGCCGAAAGGATAATCCAGGACGTGTCGAATAAAGATCAGCTTGATTAATTCGTCCTGCAACAGCATCAATTATAATTCCTATCGATTGAACGGTTCATGAATGAATTACATCTGTTAATATCTCCGGTTAAAGTTTTATTAAAGTTTATTCAAATCTTCGTTGAAGCTACTCATTCACGAAGAATTGTTGCAAGAATAATCATCCCAATTGGAACTATCGCACACACAGAGTTATGGCAATAGTATCGAAGTCCAGACACAAAGAGGGGAGAAATGCAAATCGAGTCTCGCTGATCTTTATCGAATCCCTGGAACTAACACACATACACAGCAGTGGATAGTTCGTTCGATGCTTTCGTGTTAGTTGTAAGGATTCGGTAAATATCGACGAGACTCGCTGTATTATCTCGAAGCTCTCGAGCTTTTAGTCAATATCACATAAGTAACACAATTTATTCATTTATAGCCATTATGAATTCTTTTAGCTGGACGCGATCAAATTTCGCAAAGAGCATACAGGATACGGCGAAGAGTAACAGCAGTTGCAGTAGGCAATGGATTATTAAATAAAAAAAGGGAAAAGTATAGGGGAAAAAGGGAAACGTAGAGATGAAGAGGGAGAGAGAGAGAAGGGGAAAAGGATTATTTTGCCACGGGAGGTATTAGAGTACAAGAATATCGTGCACTCCTTTCTCAGAAAGAATCTTAAAAGCTTTAAAAACATATGCGCGATCCTCCTTCTTAATCCTCGACTTCAGAATTTCAACGGAGATATAATAGTATCTCGAAGATAGTTGTTCAACAGTGCCGGTTTAATCTCCGGTTTCCCTGGAAAATTGCTCCGTAAACAGAATCAACACGAAGATCGTTACTGTATTACTAATTTACGAGGTTCAGGTCGAAGAGTTCGTGATGTAATCACCGATATCGATGAAACTTTGGTGTATGGTAGTACTAAAAAAAATATTTGACACGTATTTTTTTTTATCGACGATTGTGTACACCGAAGGGGTAAAAATCGCCCTGAAAAACGAGGGTAGTATGTATATTTGGTCAAAATGTTTTTTATTTTTCAAATTTGTTGTTGAAGAATACTCTAAATTCTCTATCTCTGTTTTCGAGATATTGGAATAAATGTATCTAACTACCTCCAATTTTCAGGGCGATTTTCATCCCTTCACTGTGAACGATTGTCTAAATAAAACAATACGTGTCAAATATTTTTTTCTAGATCTACTATACTAAGTGTGGGGTACTCTAATTTTTATCGTGTAACGTGTGGTCCTTTGTGTACCGATGGGTGAAGTTTCGTGGCTTTGCAGCTGGTGAAGAAGGAGGTGTTTGCAGTGACAGAGAAAAGGTGGACAAAAGTGAGAAATGTTGAAGGACCTTACTGCAAGGACCTTGAATGATTTTTCCATGGACCTTGAATAATTTTTGCAAGGGTCTTGAATGCTCTTTGCAGTGAGGCCTTTTTTTATCATTAAGGTATTGGATCACTGCTCGTTTTCCACTTTTCTCCATCTACTCCAGCGCTGCTAATATCTCTACATCACTAGTTAGAGAGAGAGAGAGAGAGAAATTCCATATATCAGTGCACAGATGGTTGCATATTATATACAGTGAACATTATAAGTAACTAGAAAGACAAATAAGAAGATACTGTAAAAATGATTGTTTCAAATCCACTCTTGTACAGAAAGAACACTTGTGACGAACTTATTGAGCAATCGTAGAATTAATTAATGTAACATTAAATCCTGGTTGGTTGTTTGACGAAACCAGAGTTTTTTCTTCAAATAGTCTACTCATTTCTGAGACAAGGTAAGATGTTTTAATGAAACGTCGTTCAACTGTTTAGGGGAGACCCAGTACGAGGATACGCAGGTGCAATTCACTCGTCCCATTCCGGATGAAGTAATCAGGTGAGCTTAAATAATTAGAATTGTGTCTTGTATTACAGTTGTATTTTGTTTGAAATTTTAATCCTGAAAATTTAGAAAATATGATAAAACATTGTGTGGAAAATATATTGTTTGTTTCGATATTGTTAAAGATATATTTTATCGTTGATTTTTGTGTCTCTAGTGTTTATGAAGTGTACGTGAAAGAAGAAGCTGCAAATTCTGAAGGGAGGAATGATGTCACTGTTGTACCGAGTTTACCATCCACAAATGATCATCAATTAATTCAAGTAATTATCAGTGCTGAATTAACAATTATGTTTATTTACGTCGAGTGTGAAATTGACAATTATTTTGATTTATGTTAATTACAATCGTTAATATTTGTAACATAATATGTAGCAACTACTGTAATTTTTTGGGTTGCAAATATATTCTATAGAAATTCAATTTTGTTTATTTCTAGAATGATTGCATGAACCTAGATGTTGCTATAGATTCTGACGTGATTAATATCGATGGTGCTGTGACGAAGTTTCTTGGTAAAGATGCTTTCAAATATAAGGTAACAATATGGAAAATGTTCTTCTTTATTGTAGTATTATAAGTTAGTTAAACAATATTCACTGCTTGTAGATTCTTGATCAAAATGTTAATTCATCCGAAGACAATGTTATGGTGTATTCGCACCCGGTTGTCGACGGGCCCTCATCGTCCAATACACGTTTGATCGATAAAGATGATCCTAGATCGAAACTTCATTTCGTGAAATATTTGAAGAGAGATGGGAAGACGCTGAAAATTTGGGAATGCGGAATCTGTGAGTAATTTACCGATTTAAATCATTTTTAATCGACTATCCCCATGTGCTGTTTCACTTTATAACATCTGAAAATTTGAAAAATTGAAAATTAAAGAATTTAGAAGTTAACAAAGATTGGAAATTTGAAAGCTTAAAAATTTAGAGATTAAAAACTTTGAAAATTTGAAAGTTGGAAAATTTTATCATTCGAACAATTGGAAATTCGAAAATTTGAAGATTGGAAAATGTGAAAATTCGGTAATTTGCTAATTCGAAAATTTGATTGTTCGGAAACGTGAAAATTCGAAAACTTGCCAATTGGAAAATGTGAGAATTCGATAATTTACCAATTGGAAAGTGTGAAAATTCGATAATTTGCCAATTGGAAAGTGTGAAAATTCGATAATTTGCCAATTGGAAAGTGTGAAAATTCGATAATTTGCCAATTGGAAAGTGTGAAAATTCGATAATTTGCCAATTGGAAAGTGTGAAAATTCGATAATTTGCCCATTGGAAAATTTGAAAATTCGATTATTCGAAAATGTGAAAATTCGGTAATTCGAAGATTGGAAAATTTGACAATTCGAACGTTAGAAAATTCTAAAATACGCAAATTCAATTTTCAATCTGAAGCTTCAAAGTTTTGCGTAACGCTTCTTTTCCACAAAATCGTTGACATAAATCGCACGTAACGCGAAAACACAGCATGGTAAGCTTGACATTCGATTCAGGTTCGAAGGAGTTCCGGCATCAGTACACGTTGATGAGACATTTACCAACGCACACCGACGAGAGGAACTTCAAATGCGAAGCTTGCGGCAAAGCTTTTCGCCAGTTGTCGACACTGAGCCAGCACAAGGCGATACACAGTGACGCTAGACCGTACGTTTGCGAATTTTGCAAGAAAACTTTCAACAGGTCAGTCACCGTGCAATCTGTAATTCCTTAATTTCTACAATACTAAATATATTTTCGCGATAAAATCCATTTTCCTTCTTCAAATCACCTGTAATTATTAGTGTCGCGTTTCCCACACTCTATAGCACCGTTTAAGCGTCCTTTGAGGCATTTTAACTAACACAACGCTTCATATAGTAATTGAAAGTACAATTTTCACCGAGGAGAAAAAATAACGACTCGCGGATCATTAGCGTTTTGAATCGTAGCGAAACCGCGCCTGATTGTACGCGAAAAAAGCGGGAAGGAAATTTTAACGAGCTCGGACACATCTCTTTTTATAAATTAATCTTCGTAGAGCATGCTTTTTAAATGAGTCAGCTTGAACGCATTATAGCGGCGCATTAATTGAGGCAGTTTCGATTATGGGATTTATAGAAGTCTTTTTGTGAATGCACGATTGGTTCTCCCGAATTTCCTATAATTTTTCGCATATTTTTCGTATGTTGAATAAGGAATTTATTTTGAAATTAAATTACTAATTTATTATATTAACATAAGGTTGTCTTTTCGTTTGAATTTTTAATTAACGATATTTTTAGAGTGTCCACGCTGATCTCTCATCGGAAAACACATTCGGAGCATAAACCGCACAAGTGTCAGGTTTGTGGGAAGGGATTCCATCAGAAGGGTAATTGTTGATCGCTTAATTCTTCCGAAGTGTACAAGTTGTTTCAGAATCGTAAATACACCTTTAATCGACGAAACGAAATAAAGGGCAAAGGAGACACTTTAATATTTTTAAAACACAGAGAAAATAAACTTAATTAATTTCTCCATTCTCATTTAGCAAAGATTTGCAATTTTTAATCATTTCGTTTCTCCCTCTGATCACTTGAAAGTATAATTTTACCTCTTATCTTGCAAACATAACTAATCTCTCTATTCTCATTTAAGTTTCCACAAATATTTACAATTTCCAATCATCTCATTTCTCCCTCGAATCACCTGAAAGTGAAAATACATCAAATTCCAGTCACTCGAAATAAAAAACTACACTACTGTGTCTCAACTGCGCGCGTACAATGAAACAATAATGAATTTACGCGCACATTTGTACAACCCTTTTCTCCTTACTTCTGCCACGTTCACACGGTCGGAAAGTTTTGCTCGTTAAAATCTGGCACAGCCTGTACAAGGGTTAACTCCAGTGGAACGTGATATTAACAATCTGAAAACAGTCCACGAAACAGTTCTTGCTCCTCAAACACGTGCACACGTGCATGCTTGTTTTCCCTTTCCATTGGTGCACACACCGGTCGATTAAACGTGCGCCAACAATTCTGGAACAGCCTGTACAAAGTAAGTAAGCGGCGGCGGCGGAGGCGGCATCGAGCAAGCGGCAACAGTTAAATACCGTTCCGTTGTCAGGCAATTTGAGGAACCACGTGTTTACCCATACGAACGAGAGGCCGTACAAATGCGAGCTTTGCGGCAAAGGCTTCAATCAAATGTCGAATTTGGTCTGCCACAAGGTCAAAGCGCATGCACACGCGGAGAAAATGCAGTACGTGTGCGGAATCTGTGGCAAAGAGTTTCCGCGTCGATTCTCTTTGAGATCGCACGAGGAGTACAAGCACGGCATCAAGTATCGACATCCGGCCGGCGTTCAGCCGAGCATCAACGATCCGAACGTCATAAGAAAGTAGGTAGACGTCACAGAATTATTCAGCTGAACGCCGCTTAATTTGCCCATCGACAGACGTGGCCCCATCTGCCCACTCTCCCATCCTTTTCTTGTTCAATGAACGCGGCTTGAATGTTGATCTTTCCGGTAGACACGAAGCTGACGCTCGCTACTTCTTCTTTCTCTTGCGCTTCTGCAAATTCTCTTCTTCCTTCTCTATCGTTTTTCACTTCTTTTTCTTTTTTTTTTTTAAGTATGTCATGCTTCGGTGATTGAGGTTTTCAAATAGTTTCAGGGTGCATTATTGCTATGGGTGAAATAATTCAGGCGGTTTAGGGTGGAGTAACTAGAAGAGAAATTGTGTTGAAAGGTGTCTGCAAAGGTATTGCAAGGTGTCTAAGAAATTTAAGCGATTTTTAATGAATCCTTTATCACTCGAATCTATCAAAACGAAGTAAATTAGTATTGATCTTTGCAATATTAAGTACTTCTTAGTGGTAGGTACTCGCCGCATCGAATAAGAGTGATTGTGGTGACATATTTAGTTTCTATTTAATAATCCTCAGATTTGAATACTAAAGTTAGAGTTAAAAGTGAAGTTCATTACAAACAAAACTCACTGTTGTTACATCTTAACCATAATCTACGCCACGAGTGTGACTCGTTATTATAAGGGAAAGGGTTAATTGTGAAAGTGTTCTCTGATTATTGGCTAGTAGTGTATACAGATATTAGTTATAGCGAACACCGATTTTTAATGCATATTACACTCCCATTCATAAGTATTAGGACACCCGTTATGTTCGTACAGAAAGTATAAAACTGAATAAGAACTTTTTGTGACCTAATAATTTCGTACTTAATAAGTGACCTGATACTTACGAACAGGAGCGTAGTTGTACAGTTTTGCCCGAATATATTCTATACGTTCTTGGTCCACAGCCAACGTCTTGTCTGAACTTACGCATGGGTTCGTAAACGTGAAAGGGTTAAGTGTTTTGGCAGAACTTCTAGCGAAAGTTAGAAACATGCACTAGAATATTTAATTATGGAGAAACAGTGAAGTAACAGGCTTCTCAGTATTTTTTTCTTATTAAATGATTAATTAATTGAATTTCAGTAAGAACGTCAGGATCGTGCAGCTGCCTAACGGCGATCGAAACCAAACGTTCGATCTTAGGGACAAGGATCCTCTGCTAACGGTTGGTAACTTAATCGTTGTATCGAACATTATACACAGTGGTCCGTATAAGTCGCTTGACAAAAATACACGGAAATCTAAGGGAACAGGTTTTCGGATTCAGACCCGGTACGTTCTTTTTAAATGCTCCATATACTGAATTTTGCGCTGAATGAACTCTAGCGAATGAAAAGGCGAAGAATGATTTAGCGCCGAGCGACTTATCCGTCCACCCTGTATTACGGTATCTCCATTCTAAGGGAAATAAATATAAGTATGCCTTGGAAAAGTCGGACGTCATGGAGTCTGTAGTGGTAGACAAGATCGACACAAAGGCGATGGAGATGGCCCTCCTCGAAGGACAAACGCCGTTCGCCCTGTTCAAACCAGCCAAAGGAATTCCTGTTCTCGTAAAAGTCTCGCCTACTGGAACTCATAAAAACGTAACAATTTTTCCTCCTATTCGAAACTCTTTATTGAACTCTTTCTCCTTTTTCCACACCGTCATAGACACTTCTTATTTCATTTTTAATTAGGTTAACACGCCCGCTGTCACCGGAAAATCGATAACACGCTGAACGATACGTTCTGGACCGCATACGCTGCGTCGGTGACAGCGAACGTGTTTACTACCGAGAGGAAATAATTTCGTTGAATTTAAACGAGACACCCTGTATACATAGACCGAAGGAAAATCAGTTTTTTTTATCGTCTGAATTCAGATTCTAACACCTGCCACAGCTGACGATCTTCGTATGGCGGGGAAAATGAGCCTGAGCCCAACAATTTTAGCTGACGCCGACAGGATCAAGGCTGTCCAGGTGAAAGTACCTGTCGTAGCCACTGTAATTCAGAATGTAGATCCTGATGGGAAAGTGAATTTCATTATCGAACCGCCTGGTCCTGAGAACGAACACGGTGAATGCAAAAAAAAAAGCAATTTCTCTGTCACGCAATCTTCGCTTTATTACAAAAACAGAAAAAAATATGAGAAAAAGTAGATTCTTAGTATTCTTGGTAATTGGTAGAATGGTTTAGCAATAGTAATCGTTTGGCGATACGACGTTAGTCGTGTACCGGTACACCATCTGCGATACGATTCGAGAGGGACGATTTCGTTCGTCTATAATTGGCTCGTTAAAGCGGCAATGTTTTTCAAAAGTGTCGCCGCAATATGGCGTTTATTTGGTGCACTGTCGACAGAGAGCCTGGTCACAGCATTGGACTCTCAGTTCACGTACACCGAGCCGGTTAGAAACGAGCTCGATCGTCAGAATGGTCCTGTTGTGTCCTCCGCGATGGAGGATTGCAACGAGCTGCTGGAACTCGCCGCGCAGGATGACATACAGTTTGTTCGCGCGACTGAGGATGGCCGCTACGAGGTAATGATCGATCACGATCCTTTACATTGTTACGTTCACATTCGTAAATGAAGTAATTTGTCGTTGAAGTTAACGTTTTATCGGAGTCGTCGAACTTTAACCCTTTGCGGTCCTGTGTCGAGTCAGACTCGATGTAAGAATTTTTTCCATTAGATATCATATAATGATTCCTTTATGCCTTAATATTACACTGAAACTTAGTATTTTATAAGCAATATGACGTTGAAATATTGAAATAAAGGGAAACTACATGGTACTGCCCGAGAGTGACCAAATGACTAACTGGACTATTTGGACCGCAAAGGGTTAATCCACCTGTGGTGCGCGAAACTTTGGTTAAACGAAAGAAGTTACACTTGCAAAATGTGTACAAAGGAAGATCGAGGTGTTCAGAATTCAACCCATGGTTATGATTTCTTATTTTCAAGAAAAAACGAGAAACTTAGTAACAATTCTCAAGCGACAATTTTAAAATAATTCTAATAAATAAGCAGCTGTATATCTTCTTCGACTTCCCGAAAATAAGGCCAGGTTTCTAGAGATTAACCTTCACGGGTTTCTCGTTTTAATTCGGCTTGTCTGTTGTATTAAGAAATTGCAATATACTTCTGTTCAGGAAAAGGTAAACGCCACCTTTGGTAGAAAAGTAGGATAACGGTAGAAAAACCAACGATGCACAGAGACGTTAGCTCTTTTCCACCGAGCCCTTTAATTAAAACAAATTAAATTAGCCACGTACAATTATTCCCGCGGCTTGACGACATTCAATCGTTCGATTCACGTACATCCTTCGTAATTAACAACTGTCCGCAAATCAGGTGATAACGAATAGCGAGGCACGTGATCTGATGGTACAGAACTCGCATGACGTGACGATCTTCAGCGAGGAAGCGGACGCGATCAATGTGGTGAATATGCGCGGTAACGGGGAAGTCATCATCGGGGATTCCGATAATCAGATCATGGTGCTCGACTCCGCCTCCTCCCAGAAATCTATGCCGATGGACGGCATCGAGATCCTGGAGGACAAGGACATCCGGATTCTCGACAGCAAGAGCCTCGACGACCGCTTCGTGGACGGTATTAGTTTCCTCCCGCAATCGAAAATCGACGATCTGATCTTAGGCCCGAAACCTTTGTCCCTCGACGCTGGAGTTTCTGTCAGCGAGCATGACGACGAAGGTTACCCCTTTTCCGTTATTATCTAGACGATTCTGTATCTTCTCCTTTTAGGTCTTTACTCCACAGGAGGGTGTGTTTAGTGAATAAAAATGTTATTACAGGTAGTGCGATGAGTGTTTGAATCTGAATTTCTTGGAAACGATTCGAAGGCTTTTCGATAATGTGAAAATTTGAATCGATAACTTTTGAAAGTCTTGAAACTTTAGAGACTCGAGATTTATCAAGAGTTAAAATTCAAGAGTTATCGAAAGTTTCAAGAGTTTCGAATCACGATTCGATGTGATTCAATATTGTGAAAATTCGAATCATTTCGAACTTAATTCGATACTTGAAACTCTTGAAACTGTAGAGATTTAAGATTTATCAAGACTCAAAATTGAAGAGTCATCAAAAGTTTCAAGAGTTTCGGATCATGTTCGATGTGATTGGAAGTGTTTCAATATTATTAAAATCCGAATCATTTCGAACTTAATTCGGTACTTAGAACTCTTGAAACTTTAGGGACTTAAGATCTATGAAAACTCAAGAGTTATCAAGAGTTTCAAGAATTTCGAGTATCGAATCATGTTCGAAATGATTCGACTTATTCGAAGCGTTTCAGAGTCCATCACTAATTACGAATAATCCTCGTACATCATGAAAATTCGTACGGAAACCGGTGTTGAACGAAACATTGTCCAACAAAATCTTATTACACGATACATGCAAAAAATAAAAAGAAAGACTATTATTATTCAGTTTGAAATTTTGCATTTTAAGCAGTGAACACATTTTCGCTGATACGAGGTAATAAATATGGCGGGAAATATAAAATGTAGATCAAATATCACTTTTCGTGAGAATATAATAGGTGTCTGATATTTTATGGACGGTATGGTGTATGTTGAAGAAAAGATACGAGCTTCTGTCTACAAATATTAGGATACTTATCAAGTGTAGAGTAAACTTGTCAAAACTATTATGAAATTACCCAAGTTTTAAAGAATTATAGTTTTTTGCTTTTAATTTTCTTAGAAATATTAGTTCTTATACGAACACAGTAAGTAAATAAGTAAGTTTCAGTAAGTTTTCTCATGTTTTCATTTTACTTATTAATTTGCTTCGAACTTGGAATAAATAATTTTCACAATTTTAACATTAATAAAGTTAATAAAAGATTACAAACATCACTTTTACTACATTGGTTAAAGTTTGCACAGAACGTTAATGTTAATATTCCAGGGTTAAGGAAAATATAAGTTCGAGTAACTAACTTATCACGTAGTTATAGGAGTGCCTTCGAGTCAGCAAGAGCTAACAAGCATCCTCAGCCATCGAAGCGATATTTCGACACTCTCAACCACCTCCCAGCCCTCGATATCCTCCCTTCTAATGAAAAGCCACCCACCGTTGTCAATCTTAAACGAAACACTTCCCTACCTGAAGAGCAATACGAGCTTGGCAGAAGACCTCAACATGTTCAGTAATTCTACAACGGACAGTCATTCCATGTACGAATCAAAGATCAAATTACCTTCAGTCTTCGACGATACCGAACCGGATGCTGGCTTAATTCCCATCAGTCAAGCAGACATGAAGATTCTAGGATCAGGGAGCTCGAGCACCAAGGTGATAATTCAAACTCAAGATGAAAAATCCAAAAAAAAAAAAAAAAAGAAATTGGTGAAATAACTATTTTACTCTTATTCAAATTTCCCGCCGAAGGTTTTCTGCAACAAGACGAATTGTTTGCCGTCCTCGAAGTTATTCTCTGGATTGGGCGAGGTGAAGATTCTAGGCCCGAAGAATCACAGCCAGGAGATCATGACCTCGCAGTATCAGGACGTGAAGTTACTTACATCGTACGAGCAGTTTTTAAAGAACACCGCCGCGAACACGAATGGCTGCGACGGAAGCGGGGTGAATACTTCCGGCGGATGCAGGCAGGAGGTGAAGATTCTGGGGAAGAAGTTGGGAACTGGCATTATTACCAGCACCGTGGAGGGCAACGTCGTGGAAGTCATCGAGGAGAAAACTAAGCTGGTAAGAGATTCCATGGTTACCATCAATTTGTTCCTTCGTTAATCGTACGGCTCTTTCACGCACGCCTTCTCTGTTCAACGCGTTAAAGCGGGAGTTCACCGAACTGGAAGGGAATTTTGAGAATGAATTTTCCAGTGCGATGGAAAAATATCGCGCGTCGAATCGATGAAGATATTGCTGATAAGTGATTTGCCCGCTTATCTGTTCGTAATATTCTTTATTCCAGAAAGTAGTTTCAGTCAATCATGGAAGAGGTCAAAGATTTTACTTTTTTTATAATCTTCATTTGAAAAGATACAATTTTTTCGAAACATTTATCATATTTATCATTTATCATATGTATGAACAGAGAGAATAAGGTACAAGGGCAAATAATTCTGAACAATAATGTATATACAGGGTGGGCCACGTGAAATAGGTCGCCTAATTATTTTCTTTAGCTGTCGGGGTACGAGAAAATTTTTACAAGTAACTTGAATGGTTGCAAAGGGTGAGTAAGATGGAAAATACAGTCTTTTATAACTGCCATTTCTTCAGTTCCCCTTTTTTCAAGGTCACCTGTGTTTTTTTAAATAAATGTATATATTTGTTTCTGTTATATGTTGCAGCAAACATACGATCCTTAAAATGACTTTAGACTCTAAAATTTTAAATCAAATGTGAAGCTTCCTTTCATTGTTTACCATTTGAAAAGAAAGTTTTCTTTCACCTTACTCATTCTTTAAAACCACTTAAATTGCGTATGAAAATCGTACCTAACCTAACCGAGCACACGATTCTTCATGCAAATATAAGTCGAAAACGTAGAATGAACTTTTTTCATAAGAGACTTAGTTTTTCGAGAAAATTAATTTAAAGTTACTAACTTTTCCTTACTTTTAATAGCAGCGGAAATAACTTAGATGTTATATATAATACCACGAAGTCAGATTTAAAATACTCTTGCAAAGTATACAATACATCACTTTAACCCTTTCGCGATAGAATTATTTTTGAAAGAATTAATTGTTCATCTACTAATCATCGTTTCTAAATTGAAATCAATCTTTGTCCGAGTACTCAAGAGGGACACTTGCATCCCACTGGTTACGAAAGGGTTAAACACTCATTACCAATCATTACTAATTTCTCTTGCAAAATTCAATTGTTCCTTATTATCGAAATGAATTTCTATATTTATGCGAGAGAAACTCGACGCGAGATGTTAATTTTTTTTTCGAAGATCATGGATCACGGGCTGTGCAGCGGCATGGACAACACGGTGATTTCATCGCCTCGCCTGGACAGGCAGATGACGGAAAACGGCGGGCCGGACAGCTTCCTGCTTCAAGTAAAGACACTCGAGCACATTTACGATTCGCAGACAGTTGAAACAGAGAACCTTTCCGCGATCTATGCAGGCCTGTAGCCCGTGCAGCTCGGACTTTTTGAATTTCGAGAACCGTCTGAAAGACACGTCGCCGGCTGGTCATTTCGATAGAAGCCAAAAGGATTCCAGGGACAGCTTCGTCTCCGGCGGCGGTTTGCCCGATCTCGATTGATCAAGAAGTCGATTCCAAGGGCCCCCTTTTAGCCTGACTGCTGTGCTGCTGCTACCTCGTCGTCGAAACTTTCAGACCTTACGAGCGGAAATTTCGGTCTCCTCGAGGATTTCTTTTGGTGGCTGTGAAGAAGGACGGACGGATGTGATTCGATTCGTGGATGTGATTGAAATTTCGATCCGGTCTCTCTTCTCCCTTTCTCCGATTCGAACGATATTCCACGGACACGTGCAATTAGAACGATTGATTTTTCTCTCTTCTTCTTTCTTTTTTTTTTCTCTTCTTTTTCTGTTCGCTTTTTATTTTACCACCCGGGGGGGTAACGGTCGTGTGTATCGCGCGCTCAGAATACTCGCGATTCTATTTTAGAGGAGTGAGAGAGAGAGAGAGAGGAAAACGTCTCGTGTGTTAAGTCGAGGCGCGTTTCATCCGGAAGAGTTTGTCTCGGTTCTTTTCTCTCTTTTTATCGTCACATCGCGCGGATGTGAGTAAATTTTAGCACGGGAGAGACACGCAGAGATGGGTGTCAGGACGATCGTACTGTTAGGAATGTATCGGTAATTTTGGACTTTCGCGAGGTATTTGTGAATCTGAAAGGACGGCATAGTGCTAGAATGAATTAATTTTTTTTTTAGCTTTGTACCAATAGTGTAACTGAGGTTTGGGGAAAACGGAGAGAGAGGCAGATGGAATGAAAGGTAGGAGGGAGAGACAGTGAGAAAGAGGTGAGAGCATCGACGCGTGGTTATCAGTGTGAGCCTTTAGGTGAGCATATAGTATAGCACGCGTGGGGAATCTAAACGAGGTTACGTAATTTCGCGGGGAATGCTAATGATTTTATTCATGGGTGAGAAAGTTGTATTTTTGTGCGGCGTCCTGGCCGACAGCTTGTAAATTTCAATTCGCGCGCACGTACACGCGTACCGCGTTCATATATGCATTGTTCATTTTCCGGGTTTCTATTTTAACATGGCCGATTACATTGTATAAATTCGAATAGTATTTTATATTTGAATTTCGAGGTTGGAGAATAAAATTGTATGCAGAAAATAATCCAATCGTTTGTGCAATTTATTCGCCGTTGTTTACGCCTGTTACGCCAAACTGCAAGGTTTATTCTTTCATATTAAGCATACGTTGTGTTTAGCATATGTGTATATTACTTTGAAAACGAGAATCAGCAATTCGGAGGGGATAGAGACATTTTTTCGATGGTTTTCTTTTTTTATAATTGGAATAAAAATAAGATTAGAAATGTTTGCAAATTTATTCTTCGTGGAATTTCTTCTGGAAGACTGTAAAGTCACTAATAGGAATAGTAATTGAACGAATCACTCGTGATGGAAAATAGAATGGATGCAGTTTTCCAATATGTTCCATTCTTTTACAGTTGGAGCAAAAATGATATTGAAAATATTTGCAAATTTATTCTTCGTGGAAACAGTAATTGAATGAATTAGGGATAGGAAACAGCATTCGAATGGTTTCAGTTAACTACGAGTTCGAATATTTTTGTCAATTTACGTTATTCAGGGAAAACACTCGGAATTTTTATTTTTGAATTTTACTTTTATACGATATTTTGTGACATTACTTTTCTTTAATACTTTTAGACAGATATAATGATCTTTACGTCGGACATTTATTCTACTGATTTTTATGATGCAGCGTTTCCTAGAAACATTGCTACAAATTTTATTTGCATGTTACCCGTGAAATTGGAAACGTGTTACTTCACTAACAAATTAGAAAATGTGAACAAGTATAGAAGATGTTAAAAATATTTCTACAAAAATTTGTAAACAATTGAAAAGTAATTCTTGAGATTTAACGATATCATTAAAAATAGACTGTCTCAGAATAATACGATATATCTCGCGTGAATTTTTATATTTAAGAAAACATCTCGCAGTGATAATCACAGAAATTGATCAGACATTGGTAAACAGTAGTACTCGACAGAATATTCGACACGTATTTTTGTTTTATATAAGCAATCGTCCACATTGAAGTAGTGTAAGTACACTTCGTTCTATTTAATTTTTCTAAAATTATTCAAGAATCAGTAAAACACTTCAATACACTTCCAATAATACATGAAACTAATCAAAGTATCGGAACGAAGAAAATACTCGGAAGAGATACCTATTTCCTGGTTCGAAAGGAAATCTTCCCGAAAGCGACACACATAGAAACGCAGACGTACATCGTTCTTTTCTCAACGTTTTACCCCTTGGTGGTCGTTGATCCGACACAACACGTGTCACTGTCGCTTTCCACTTTCTGCGCGTACCGTTCCGTGATACATATTACAGTTTTTCCCGGGCGGCGCTTTTCCTCTGAAGCCAGGGGATCGCTGGATTCGATAAAATTTCCTCAACAGAAGGTGACGTTCGCCACGCGAACTTCTCTAGCCACCTTCATTTCCGGCTGCTCGCTCGCTCGCTCACTCGCTCGCTCTCGTCGAGCGGACTCAAATCAACTTGGGTCAGGTCCGGGCTCTACAGACAAAGGGAAGCGTCGTGGTGAAGTTTCTGGCGAACAGCTTTCCCTATTCCCCGACTCTCTTTCTCCTTTATACCGCTGCTCCGCGCTAGCTGCTCTGATAACGCTGAAACGTACGGGGGATTTCGTTTTCCCTGTTCGAGGTGGGTCTAATGGGATCCGGGGACGAAATTAGTCGGCCAGTTCGTGACATAATTGGAGCGAAATTTCTGTTGTAAATATTTCGACAATTGCCCACCTTGAACGTATTGTGATTGGGTATTACGTTTCTCTTCTTCTATTTTTGGGGGTTTTGTGGAGCAATTTCTTATGCTATTTCGATTGGAAATTACGTTTATAGTTCTGTATTGTCCTCCTTGTGGCGATACTGTGAACGTGAGATTGGATAAATTATGGAGATTCACAATTGGAGGTAAAGTGTATAATGTTTGAAATTTTCTTGAAGACATCAGTCTTTAATTCAGACTCGAAATTTAACTGGAAAATAATTTTTGATAGTTCCCTCGTCTTTTAGTCGCATTCAGCCCACTTTTTTACTCGCCAAGTAAAAATTTGTGTATTCATGACTTTGGCAATAAATTAGGAAAAAGAAATCGTTGAAAAATGGACATGTTTCTTAGAAAAATTTAGTGCCACTTTCGTAGTTTAATATGAGGAATAGATTTGGAAAAAATAATTACATAAATTTTCTTTTATACAATTTTATAAACAGCTCTTGAAGAAGAAAATCCTGGAAAAATCGGCCAACAGTTGTCGCTAGATTACTTTAAAACAGTTGAAATATGCGATAACGAC